AAATGATTCAAAAATCAGAAATAATTGCACTGTAAATGAATGTTCTGCTGAAAAAAAAGAAACTGGAGCCACCGGTCCACCACCTAGTCCAAATCCGACAGTTCCATGGCCTTACCAATGGACTGGTTGTGTTGGACCACCTGATCAAACGAGGGAGGGAGAGGAGTAGTTCCAATTTGGAACAAGTGAGTCCCAGGCAGCGTGTGATAGGTGTAGCTGTAGCGAAGACGATGGACAAAAGATAAGTGTACCCAAGTGAATGGGACAGCGATGAACATGGGCGACGCAAATTGGAGGTGTCACATTCAACCTTGAATGGATCTTCATTGTTAGGGATTGCGAGCGTGGGCGAGGTGGTGATTGTCTTTTTGAGAGCATTGAATGCTTGTTGTTGGTCCTTGGCCCATTCCCAACTACTTTACCGGTGAGAATTGTCAGTGGTTTTGCGATTTTTCCATAGTCTCTGATAAATCGTCTGTAAAAGTTTGAAAATCCTAGAAACGACTGTAACTCCTTCTTTGTGCGTGGTATCGGCCATTCTGCGACTGCTTGTACCTTCAGCGGGTCCATGCGAATTGTATCATGAGAGATGATCATTCCTAGATATTCGACCTCTTTCTTCTCGAACTCACATTTCTCTGGTTTGAGATATAGCTGATTGTCTGCGAGTATCTGAAGAACTTTGGATACGATCTTCCTATGTTCTTCTAGCAAATCAGTGAATATCATAATATCGTCAAGGTATACAATGACAGATTCTTCGTTGATCAGGTCTCGGAGAAGTCGATCCATCATTGTTTAAAAGGTGGCTGGGGAGTTCGTAAGTCCGAAGAACATAACTAGAGGTTTGAACAATCCTCTGTTAGTTCTGAAGGCAGCTTTGTGCTCATCTCCTTCTTTGATTCAAACATTATTATATCCCCAACAAACATCCAGCTTGGTGAAGAATCTAGCACCTTTGAGCCGGTTTATCAATTCTGAAATGAGGGGTAATGTATATCGGTTTTTGATCGTAAGGGCATTGAGTTTCTGATAGTCTTGTACTGGTCTGAGAGATCCATCCTTTTTCTTGATAAAGAAGAACGGGGATGCATAAGGGGATTTTGATACTCTAATCCTCCCTGTCTCCAGGTTTTCTTTTAAGAACTCGTTAAGATGGATTTGTTCATCGCGGTTAAGTGGATATGTTTTACAGTCTAGACCTTTGGCTTCCGGCAGAAGTTCAATTGCGTGGTCCCAGACCCATCATGGGGGTAGTTTATCAAGTGACGCTTTCGTGAATACTGGCTCAAAACAATGATAAAATGGGGGAACGACATCTCTGAACATGAGTGTTGACTTTGCTCGTTCTGATTCTTCTGCAATCTGCTGGCTTTTGGTCTGAGATACGTTGTCAATCCTGCTCTGTAAGTCTACAGCGATGACTCTATCTCCGTCTTCAGGGTGATACTCCATATCATCAGAAGGGTACGTGATAGTGTTTGTTTGCCAGTTGATGTTGGGATTTGTGCCACGTAGCCAGTCGTGTCCTAATAAAATTCTGGTCTCTCTCTGTCCAGTGACCAGGAAATCCATTAATTCAGTGTAACCCGCCACAGTTAGGCGAAGTGTCACATATTCTGTCAGAGGTCCACTGCGATTTTTGGTTCCATCTGCATTTGAAACGATAACATGAGTTGGAAGTTGTTTCGTGGAAATGTTGTGTTGCCAAACAAAGGCTTCGTCAATGATGGAGTCTGTGCATCCCAAATCTATCAGAACTGGTATAACATGCGTCTGGTGATTGTTAATTGTGGATAATTGGCATTGTAGTGAGAGTTTGCATTGGTGAGATGGGGGAAGGGATGAGAAATCTTTGATCACATTCAATTGCTCTACAATGTAATCTTCATTGTGCTGCTTGAGAAAATTGATTGTATCTGTCGTGATATGTGGGTAACACTGGGGTGAGGCCCAGTTCCGAACCAATGCTTTGGCTCTTTCTTCTTTCTGGTCTTTCATTCGTCGAGCCAACCATTCTGCTGAATGTGGTTTAGCGTATTTCTCGGCACGTGGGTTTAAGGAAACTTCGAGAAAATCCTTCGTCTTTGTCTCCTCCTGGGTTGTGGTTGCTTCTCTAGCTGCAACTTTCTTCAGAGGGCAGTTCCTTGCAATATGGCCCGGCTGGCCACATCCATAGCATAATCTGAACCGACTTTGTCGGTGTCGATGATGAGAACTGTTGTTAGAAAACCACACAGAAAAACAAACTAACACACAATCCTCCCAGATTCCATGGAACTTGTTTATGGGCTTTGCCTCCTAGAACAGTGGAGTGGTCTGGTTGTTCGTGGGGTGGTACGTATAAAGATTCTTCAAAGTAAAACCCAGAGGTGTATGAGTGTGGGTTTTGAGGAGGAGGGATAGTTGAATTTATAGAAAGATAGGGGCTTTGTGGCGAGTATAGACGAGCACTACCTTGCTAATCGTAGCACAAGGTAGGTTTGAAAACAACAAGGATGACGAGGTGATGAGGTTCCCAGTGATAGCAGGCTCCTGACGCACAAACTGTAGTGCTCAGAAGGACTCTAATCGAAGGGGATGACAATCACTTTCAAAAGGGACAAGTGACGATGACAGCAGTTAACAATGGTAGAAGTGGGAAGTGTTGTGACCACACTGGATCACAAGTAGCAGAGTAGTGAACTTGAGAGTAGAGAAGAAGTCTGGATTGGATTACTTGTTTTTTTTTACAAGGTAAAATACAGGGGTTTATATAGTAAAAGAAAAGTAGGCTATGCACAGTATAGCTGTGCAAAAGAATGAGAAAGAACATGAAGGAAGAAATGTACGCTGACGGATCCTGCATAGGTAGTACAGGATAAGATTGTTAAAAAAAGGAAAAGAAAGGGATAGAACAATGAATGCTGTGAGTAATGTCACAGGTTTGTACAGCCATAAAGTAAAGTCCAATAGCAAAGAGAGAGCAGGAAAATTATGATGTCATGGGAAGATGCAGTAAAAAAAGGGCAAGGCAAAACACTATCAGTATCAACACAGTTCCTTTATTGTCAGTCAGGCATTCTAAAAAAATATGTGTCCATAAAAATGATTCAAAAATCAAAAATAATCGCACTGTAAATGAATGTTCTGCTGAAAAAAAAGAAACTGGAGCCACCAGTCCACCACCTAGTCCAAATCCGACAGTTCCATGGCCTTACCAATGGACTGGTTGTGTTGGACCACCTGATCAAACGAGGGAGGGAGAGGAGTAGTTCCAATTTGGAACAAGTGAGTCCCAGGCAGCGTGTGATAGGTGTAGCTGTAGCGAAGACGATGGACAAAAGATAAGTGTACCCAAGTGAATGGGACAGCGATGAACATGGGCGACGCAAGGGGATGAACCTTCTCCAGCTCAAAAACTACCCACCCACGCTCCAACCAGGCAAGACGAGCGACCAATGTTTTGATAGTATATGATGGTAGATCGACGTCATGAAGATGGACCTGTTGCCCTATTTGAACCGGCCGCCGGGGCTTTGCTGATATCAGCAGTGGCACGTGGTAGTCTACGGATCGGCGATGGAAGCGGATAGGAAGTGGTGACATCAGAAATGGTGGGGGTGCAAATAAGATGAGGAGGAGGAGGGTGGAGGTGACGAAAAGGTGGATTAGAATGGGGATCCAGAAACGACCATCAGGTGAGAATAAAAAAGAGAGGAAGGGGCCCATGGTGGGGCTAGGCAAAGGAAGGGGAGTAAGAGAAACGACAAAAGCAAGGGCGCAATGCAATGTGTAGCCAGTGGTGACGCGAAAATTTGCCGAAATACCGAAATGCCGAAAGTACCGGATGGAAAAGCAAAGGTGAGCGTGACTGGATTGCCTAATAGAGGTGGTGCTGATCAGCCACAAGTTCGAAAAGGGCAATATTAATTACTATTCCACGTGGCACTGTGCCTGTATGGCGCAAAGGCGAGTCTTTTTGAATATTCGCTTTGTTATTGACACCTGTCCATGCTACCAATCAACTTTGGTGCATGACAGCGTCAGGAGCCTGCTATCACTGGGAACCTTGTCACCTCCTCGTTCTCAAACCTACCTTGTGCTATGATTAGCAAGGTAGATCATATAACAAGGTAGAGCTTCTCCGTACTCGTCATAAGGCCCCTATCTTCTATATTCCAACTATCCCTCCTCCTAAAAACCCACACCCATACATCTCTGGGTTTTACTTTAAAGGATTGCTATACATACCACCCCACAAACAACCAGACCACTCCACTGTTTTAGGAGGCAAATGTTATAATTGACGTACCAGTACCTACTTACACTTCACCTTTTTCATACTTTTACTTTTATTTTTCCAAGTCACATGACCAGTCATGTGACCATTTACTTTACTTTACATTTTCGAACTTTTCATAGTCACATGACCAGTCATGTGACACAACACCGGACCAATGTCTAGACTCATCATGTGACCGGTCACATGCTAAACATCGGACTTTAAACTCTATTTACAACTGTACAGTACCTCATGTATTTTAGTATATACAGGAGCAATACAAGGGGAAGGATTCAGCGAGTCCTCCTGTTGTCTAGCACAACTAACCCATTGAAACCTAAGGGGTGATCCCTTTCTCTCTTCTCTCTTCTCTTTTGCTTGTCTGAGTTGTGCACCAGAGTAAGAAACTCTTGGTCGTTACAGCAAAGCCCATAAGCAAGTTCCATGGAATCTGGGAGGATTGTGTGTTAGTTTGTTTTGTGTGTGGTTTACTCTGAAAGTCACAGTTCTGACAGGCATCCTATATTCAATGTGGCCTCACTTGGTATGAACTGAAATGGCATGTTGGGAGGAGCAAACTGCAGCGTGAAAGGTTTGCCAAAGGTTGTACCTCCTCTGGACTTGCATTCAAAAAAGGCATATATTTAGACTACCAACAGACTGTAGCTATGAAAACATGTCTAACAATCTACAAAAACTTGCCATGCCAAATTTAAACTCCACACAATTATCTCATCTACAATCCAACTACATTTACAGTAGGTAGTTTAACATTTGGGTGTACAAGATCGGTAGATAACTCCGGGAATATTGCACCATTCATATACAGGGAATGACAAGGATAGAAATATACTGATTTATTTGCCCTTTCCAGGATCTTCCTCAGCTCGCCGATCATGAAGATATCATGCTCCTTATCCATAATGCCGTAACGGCGTACGTCCCTGTGATGTCTGTTAGTATCGAAAGATGCGGGATACCTATCAACACCATGCGTTCCAGCAAAGTCGAAATCCATCAGCATGGCTCCTTCTTTTGGATGGAGTACAATATTCTGAGGACGGAGGTCTCCAAACACCAAATCTCCCCTGTGGAGCAACTGCACCGCCCTCTCAACGCGGTCAAGGATATCGAGGTAGTTCTTCTGTTTCAGACAATCAGATATTGGAAGACTCTCAATGTAGTCCGTCATGACCATACAATGGTCGCTGATAAGGCGAGCAAAGTATTGCAACCTGGGAGCTAGTTGTTCTGTTTCCAGAAGTTTATGCGCCGCTTTGTTGTACCTCGCGGTAAATTCTGTCTAGCAGAATGTAAAAGACTCAGAGTTGGACAGAAAACTCTGAGGTATATATAAAACTGTAAGCACCTAGAGAACGTAAAAGACTACATGAGGAACTAATGTGAGCTAGGTGAAACTACATAGAATAGAAGATGTCTCACCTCAGAGTTGGACGGAAAACTCTGAGGTGTCTTATCGATGAAAAAGAGCTATATATCAGCTAACGGAAACAAAACAAAAAATTGCCATCTGATGGCGCACGGGCCATTCCATTCACTAGGCCTGCCTAGTTCGGTCATTGCTCCAACATCTCGCGCCACCTCTCTATTTCGTGGACGCTTGCACTTGTATTCCTAACAGTAAACTTAACTACGACATCCGCCTCGCCATCCGAATCAATCATCTTTGCTCGGTATATAGCGTAGGGTCTTTCGGCGTCTGCTTCCTCTCTGCGCTCCTCCTGCATGACTTGGATGCATCGTCCGCCATGTGATAGTTTGCACATGTACTTAAGGGCTGGAACAGTATCATAATCTCTGGCGGGAAGCGGGCTGGGATACAGGTGTCTAGTAGTTCGTGCCGCTTTTAGGTCAAGCGCTCTATAATATTCCTTCCAGTCATTGTAGCAGAGGCGTAGGGCCTGACACATGCGGCCTACATGTAGGACCAACTTTGCTTGGAATGCGTCGATGTACAGTTCTTGAGAAATTAGCTTATCCATGTAGACTCCGCCGATAAACACAGCAATCAATATTTCAATACGGGAGCCCGTGACGCCGATAATGACAACGGGGCAATTAGACCTCTGAACGTATGGCTTGTACTAAAAGACTCATGATAATTTAAATGGTGCTTCACTAATATTTGTCAGAACGTACCGATTCCTGAGCGACAGCTTTCCTAAAACATACCCAGCCTTGTAAAGAACTGTCCCCTCCCACGCCCGGCTCGTTCTTGTCTTCGCGGATGACTATAAGCGGATCACCCCAAGTTGCATCTACTATGCCCCCACGATCATCCAATTTGGTTTCGTAACTGCCATGATCTAGTAAAACGCTCTCGAAGAAAGGCTTTAAAAGGACCCTTCTGTGCGGTTCATTCTCGTATAATTCAGCGGAGCCCGAAATGAAGCTATGGCAAAGCCCTAGCAGCTCAGAACTTGGCTCCGAATCAGGCTGCCAAATCGTGGGATCGTCGAGACGGTCTAGACGATGTTTGAGCCTGGCAAAGGCGTGGTGGAACAGCGAAGAATGTGGACCATAGTTACAAGCTGGCCTGTGAATGTATAGATCACCATACACAGACCCAGAGCTGTCCTTGAGTAGCTTGATTTCTTTGCCCAATGGCGATCTAATGTCTCTAACATTGGCTGCCTTCCGGACAGACACTTGAAGTAGATATTAGGATTTGCCAGCAGCAAATGCTAGAGAACTCATTTTGAATTGAATCAGAACGGGTGATGTCAAGGGCCTGCAACTTGGCACCACCTTCCCAAACTCAAGATACTTTGAGTAAGTCGAGCGAAACGGCTGATTAACGTAGCACATTCTGGAATTGGTCACGACGATTATATCGACCTTCCTCTCCTCCTCGTACGCAGGACCTGTGGGGAAATGCCGTTTCATCCGCTGGTGTCATTCCTAGGTCGTCAGAATGTTCGTGAAGCCACTCTGTAACACGGTTAAAAAGTGTGTTTGGTGGGTCCATGGACAGCTCGCCACAGTGCACAAGGATGTGAGCACGACAGAGCAATATATGCTGATAGGAGATGAAGACCTGACCTTTATAAGATTAGATCCCTCGCCTTCCAAGGTTCGTCTGTGACCCAGAGACACGAATTGCCGCTTTCAAGTCTGCTACTTTCGCCCCCTCTGGCACATAGAACGGATAACACGTAGCTCTGGGGTCGTCTTGCGTGTAGGCGACGAAGCGAACAGGCATTGTAGTAATTGTATCGAAAGTGATGGTACGGAGACGTGACGCTCGACAGACCTATAATATACGTAGTCATGAAATGATTTCCCTCGGTCCGCCCGTGGCCATTTCCCTTGCAATGACCGATTTCTCAACAATCGTCCAAGCGAAAAAGCGTGACGCACGAACGGTTCGGTCACACCTCCTCGTCTCCCCATTACTACTAGTACCTATAAGCCTTTTGTTACAGTCTTCGCCACCGTCAAGCACAACACACGCACCAAGATGTCTTCGAAACGAAAATGGGATCAGGCTGCACCGGACACTGTACCAGAAGACAGCGACCACCCCGCCAAAGTTTCAAAAGCGGATGATGGCAAAACGGCTTCTGAAGCTGCTGCCGCCGCCGCCGCCATTGCTGCAAAGATTGCTGCTCAATTCAGCGCTGGAGGTGGGGGAGGTCTTTCGCTAGGTGCAAAGGATCCACATGATGGGGATTTCACGCATGACATCGATATCAATGACGTCCGGAATCGGTATATGCTCACCAAGGGGTCGACACAGACGCAGGTGAGTTGGATAGCTCTAGCTGATAATTGATGTCGGTAGCCCGTTAGCAAGTGAGGAACTGACCCTAATGTGTTTTCTTTTTGAAAGATACATGAAGAAACTGGTGCTTCGATAAGTACCAAAGGCGTGTGGTACCCAGACCGCTCGAAAGCGACCGAAAAAGACCCTCCGCTATACCTTCATATCGCTGCGTCTTCACAGGCAATGCTCCAGGATGCTATGGATAAAGTGAACGAGCTCATAGCTATCGATCTCGGTCCTCTGGTGGAAGACAAGAAAGATCGCTTGCGAGAAAAGGTACAGTTATCAAATCCTACCCATTTGCCAACGCTGCTTACATATTGCTCGTATTATAGCGAAAATGGCCTGAAGAGAAGATTCCTGTCGGCCTCGAGACTATACGAAACTTTAACGTGAGAGCAAAGGTGGTTGGCCCATCGGTAAGCTCACCATCCTACCTGTCTACGCCATTGCTGATGTCTTTCTTCCAGGGCATGTTCGTGAAATACATTCAACAAGAGACAGGAACAAGAGTACAAATAAAAGGTATCGGTTCAGGTTTTGTGGATCAGGAGACGGGTCGCGAGTCCGACGAGCCTATGCATATACATATAACGTACGTATTCATGCCCATCTTCAACCTCATAGAATAATATTGACCGTCCACCAGAGGACCTGACGAAGGTCAAGTAGCCCGTGCCAAAGTCCTAACCGACGACCTGCTCGAGGTCGTCAAATCAGAACACGCCAAGTCCCAAACGCAACTTCATCAACAGCAAATGGAACTGCATCAGGCACAAGCTCAGTATGCCGCATACAGTGCTATGGCTGTATGTTTTCCGTGCTTTTTTGAATCAATGCTAGTCTGGTTGTTGATGTATTGGATTTGCTAATCAGGGATACGCTCCCCCGCCTCCAGCCAATGCTCCACCACCCCCACCACCCGGCGAACAGCCGCCGCCTCCTCCAGATGGCAGTGCCCCTCAACCTCCTGCACCGGGCGGCTCAGCGCCGTATCCAGGCGGGGAAACACCAGGAGATACCAGTGCACAGGACACATACGCTGCATATTGGTAAGATTTTCATTTATCTTGGCATTATATGGAATAATAATGGTGATGTTGGTTGGCGCTACAGGTCTGCATATGGCTATGACGTCAACTCGCCGCAGTTCAAAGAATGGGCAGCCAGCCAGCAGCAGCAATATTCTCAGTATTACGCTCAAGGATACACGGGCGCTACCCCCGACGGTGCACCACCTGCACCTGGTGGTCAACCTCCGCCTCCCCCAGCGTGAAAAAGCTTTTGCAAACTCATTGGCACTATATACTTATGCTCCGAAGCGAGAGAGTGGGTCCAGTTGATTATGATCTATAGTGCTACATAGTATAATTTGTTTGTGCGAACATGCATCTCATGTACCACTTTTTTCCTTTGACATGCAATAACTCGAACTCGACGAGTTGTTTTTGCTCGACTCGTTGCCCGATGAATGATCAACCAACTGGCTGGTTAATCATTCACAAGGGTTATTCTTAGGGTACGAATATCTCAAGTTTCGGCCAGTAGCGGATTATGGAAGCTCAAATGGAGCCACATAAACATGTGCCCCATGGCTGAGTTGGTCACAGCGTCCGACTGTTAAGTTCGAAGTGTTCGAGCGGATCATCGGAAGGTCGTGAGTTCGAGCCTCACTGGGGCAGTTGATTTTTTGTTTCCATTCCTTTTGCCACTCTCCAAACCTTAACCTCACATATTGTATTTTGATGTTTTACTATTATTCCAGTGCATGTAGAATTTTCCTACTCAGAATCTGGTGCAATTCATACAGGAGGGGTAGATGCCAGAACCATGGCCTTCAGAGTTGTTGGAAGACTTAGAAAAATTTTTGGTAAAAGGTGTGGGGAACTTATTGATAATTGAACTGCTGGAATGGAGTACAGCAGTTACAACTTATATCTAAAAAAAAGGGGACAGTGGTCCCAAAAGTCACGTGTCAGCCATGTTGTGTCGGTCATTTTGCTTAGGTGGTTTTTGTAGCGCCACAGGTGTGGAAGGTGCTGCAGGCGCCTGACACTTACAGCAAAGCTGCCATAAGTGCAACTCATACTATCAGAGGGAGTGGGGTTTGTAAGGAGTAACTTGTGATGTAGGCACAGAGTTCTATACAAACAATTATCTAGCAAGGAGAAATCTTATGTGAGAGGAGTTTATCATAAGGTGTGAACTACAGAGTCCATGAGGAACATGAAAACATGCTGAGGAAACATATGGTGGACTGAAGGTCCAGGGTAAAAGTTGGAGCAGATATTCAGAGTATTGTATGGGAGCAAAGCACAGAAGCATGCCGGACGGCAGAACACAAGGGGCACAATTCCCAGGGAGACCAAAGGTTTGGGAGTTTGGACTTGGGGGTTTCTGACTATTCAGAGGTTTGGGTTCCTTGGCCTGTGGCACAAATATGACAGTAGATCAAATTCAGGCTGTTATACTTATGTATCACAAATTGCACATATTGCAGTTTTGCTGCAAGCATTAGGCACTTTCCACACAAAAAAACATGTGAGTAAAACTAAGCAAAAGAATATGCTCCCATGTACACAGTGCTTGGGACTACTATCTCCCCTTTTTTTAGATGATCCCTTAATATCACCTTGACTCACCTAGAAACAGTGGATTAGATTGATCAGATTGTACTTATTACACAATTTGAATGGTTTATTTTTTTTACATACATCTGAGTGAGGGATATATCAGGCAACAAATACAAAGCTATATAACAATCAACAACAACAAGTTAATCCCTTAAGATAAGGTAGTAGTGCTGAGTACCATTGACTGAAGAGTATTTGTATAGGTGCAAATCCAAACTAATATTGAATCAAAGAATAATACACCAAGTGGCTACTCTTTATATAGGGAATAATAAGAATCAGGCCAAAAAGGGAAAATAATGTCTGATCCTAAAATCAACCTATAGGAAAAAGAAAATGAAGTGGTACAACTATTATAATTAATAAGCATGTGGAAGATTTCTCATGAGAGGAATGTGCAATTGGCTAAAACAGTAATCCTATTATAGGATACTGTGCTATAGTCCTTCCTGCTTATTGAATTTCCTCCAAAGTATTCTCATACAAAGCTTATTAATGAAGCTATGTGAGTGGGATATCTCCTTGTAGGTTTGAAGGGAGTATCCTGCTTTATAAATAAAATAGACCATGGGTATGAAGGGAAAATAGAAAAAAGAAAGAGATAAGTAATATTTTACCAACAGTGACTTCTAGTGCAGTGGCCAGCAGAGTAGTTGGGAAGGAGTCTGAAAGCTATGACATAGTGAGAATGTAATAGTAAAAATTGATTCCTAACAAGATACATGAATAAACCTCTCATGCATATATGGGTGGCCACAGCATGGTGAAATTTGTGTTTGATCACAAGTTAAATGCTGGTAGATTGGAAAATATGTGAGCTACAACTTGGTATTTTGGCTACAACATTAGAGAAAGGTTTTTTTGGGCCCAAACTGATACTCTAGGGTTATCCTGCACACCCTTAAAAATATCTTCCCTCCCTACTAGTACATTGAGTACTCAAAGTGTTGTATAGTGATGTCAGAATTGTGACCTTTAGGAAAGCAGAGCTTGGAGTGCGGAGATGGAGTGGGGAGCGGGACAGAGTATGGGATTGGAGACTGACTTAGCTTGTGCGCTAGGCCCTTCTGTGGACCTTGGTCCCTAACCCGTTAAAGTGAACAGATGAGAGTAGAGGATGAAAAAGAGTAGAGTAAAGGCCCTTTGGAGAAGAACCAGAAAACTTAGAAGGGGATTTGAGTAAAGGCAAGGGAATCTAGTTGATATTTAAACTGCGGGAACAGAGTACAGGAGCTACAACTTATATACTGTCGGAGGACTGGGAGCTTGTAAGGAGTAACTTGTAATGTAGGTACAGAGTTCCATGTGGACAACTATCTAGCGGGGGGAAATTGTATGTGGAGGTGGGGTACAGGGTTATGCCAATTGGCAGGACACAAGGAGCATAATCCCAAGAGTGCCAAAGATTCAGGGGGTTTGGACATGAGGAATGTCCTCTTCAAAATTCTGGAGTTATGCCTTCCAATATGGATATGACAGGTGAAGATGAAAGAAAATTTTGGGCTAAAATCATGATAGATGATTCTAAATTATCTGAACTTGCTTATATAATGGTCACAGGTCTTGTCACACCACAAAGTTGTGTTAGGTAGCTAGCAGTGTTCA